GATAGCCCCAGTATTGGCTCATTGGTACTACTACTCAGAGAGGGTAATAATGAGCCCATCTGCCCCTTCCGAGTAACTAGTCGAGCACGTTGTCTTGTGCCAGCCCGAGGGTCCCTCTGCACTTCATTCGCCTCCTATCGGTTCCTGGTCGTGAGGGGCATACTCGGTGCTTTGGGCAAGGTACTATTGTCGATGCTGTGCTCAGAGTCGCCTACCACTCCTTTTTCAGATCGTCCTTTTATCTATGGTGGGAGCATACTTGGCTCCACTCGGCTACCTCTTCCACGACCTCATTATGACCCCTCTCTTCTTATGGGCTATCTCAATGGTTAGTCGTGTTCCTGTCTCTCGCTCGAAGGGAGCTTGCCTCGTCAGGCTCGGCCGGCTCGAACTCTGGCAGCAGTTGCCCCTGAGGGCAGTCTTCTAGGCCCTGGTATGGTCACAGCATCTGTTCTCACCGTGAGACTGGGACTTCGGTGTTTTTGATGATCTTGGATATCTACTCCTTGAGGTACTCCTGTTGACTCTGGTCCTCCTCACGGCCTTGGGCATACTATATCTGCAAGATGGCGAGTCGTGGTTTGTAAGTGTGGGGAGTTGCATGTGGTCGTTGCCAATGTGTTGGTAGATCCGCTTCAACGATGAGTCAAGTGACATTCACGAGTGGCAGAAGCGATCTGATAACTTTGAAGCGGCCTTGACTTGGGTGTGGATGTCCTGGGCTACCATCGATGTTGCTGTGTGCTACTCCTATGGTCACGTGTACCGTCGGGCTGTGTACGTAGCCCTGGGTCTAGGCTGTGCCCACTTGCCCACTTCCAGGTATCGTAATCTGGCGTTGATGGTTACTGTCATTGCCCTTGGTGTGCCCGTACTGGTCCTGTTGCTTAATGGTAGCTGCTCTTACAACTGCGCCTTCAAGGTAATGACGCCCCTTCTTGTGGTTGTACTGTCTAATCAGTTGGTGTTCAGATCAATTGCAAGGATGAGGACTACTTTGCATTGAAGGATAGCTGGTTCAACTATTTCCTATTTAGTTATGAAGAAATAGGAGGCACTGAATGGTAGATAGAAATGGCTCTAGCGCTCCCAAAGATACTGTCCCCGTCACAATGCTGCTTGAACGCTAGGTACAGTTCCGTGCCATCCAATGTATTACCGGTGGGTCTCCGTTGGGGCTTCTTGGCTCTGTTTACGGGTATGACTCTATTGCATCATCTTTCCTATAGTATCATTATCCTTGGTCCCTGGGTGCAGAAAGTACTCCCCAGTTGGGGTTGGGGCACTGAGGAAGGTGAGCCCTTGTGATGGCCCTTAGATGTAATCACAGTACAAAATGTGATTCAGCATCTGCTGGGATGGTCAACGGAGGCGGCCGTTCATTCCAGTTGCCGAAGTTGCGAGTATTGGGCAAGAAACTTAAAAGGAGGCTGAGGCGTGGTATGGCACAGATCGCTATGAGTAGCTGTGTAGGCTCGTGTCCTCAGGACGTAGTGCTATGTCAAGTGGCAAGTCTAAGGTGGAGCGGCGCAACTCTTTAGCGTCTCTGGCCACTGATGCTGACTTTACTGGGATGGACTATGCCGAGGATCGATTTGCTGACATCCAGCACGTTGCGTGAGAAATTGTTATGGGGAGGGGAATGCCGTCACGTTGTCGTTTACACTAAGTTGATCTATATTCGGATTGTTGTGGTACGTCCTACTACTTTTGTGTACGCTTTAGTGTAGGCGAGTGAGTGATAAGAATCATTCACGCTAGTTCGGCTTATCCTTGATGGAACTCGAGACGATTCCCCATTTGAGTTGTCACAGTTTGATCCGGTAGCATACTCATAGATGGTTGGTGAAGGCGCCTTTGCGGTTTGCTATGAACTATGCAGGCCGAGTGGTCTGCCTCAGGTTTGAAGATGAAACGGTTACGCCGCCTTCGTCGAACGGTGCTGCTGCTGCTGGACCCGTCCTTTTTGGTCGTCAAAATGAGCCTGAACGCATTTAAATTTAAAATATTTCACCTACGACGTATATCCTCATCGGACATGCTCTTTTAATTATATCTGCCTCTGGCTCGACGTGACTGTACTACTCCCGGAAGTAGCCAGTTTTTGAAGTATCTTGTATTCGGCTTGTGTTCTTCTCATGTTGGTCGGGAATGTGATCATAATGTGATGCTTTGGTTCGCTTTCCAGCAACGTCATCATCACAATGAGCGATCAAGAAGTCGGCAATGTCCCGCTTTACTCGACGTTTTATCTATGTAACTATGCCGTCTTTGTTATTATCATCTTTTTGCACGGATGTAAGCGGTTCTTGAACAGGAGGGCTACACCACACGATGGTAAGCGTGAGTGGCTTTTGTGATTAGCTTAGTGCAGGGCGCTAGTCACAGGTCACACAGGAGTTCTAGAGTCGGAAAGCCTCACTGAACTCGGTTATAGACGCACTATACTGGGGACCGCCCTCCAAGTAGTGGCTATAGCCTGGATGGTGTGGATGGAGGTGGGCATGCTCATGCTAGCGATTGGCAAGTAAGTTGTCCACTGCTCATATGGTGCGGTGTACTGCACAACTGTTATTAGTTACTATGGATTCTGGCCCTTTGGCAATGTTGGGTTCACTCCAAGCTGGGATAGTTATACGGCGGGCTTCCTCATAGCTTGGGTACGCTCATTGGGTTTGCTTATAGGGGTCTGTTGCTCGCTCGTTCGATCAATTCTCGTCATTTTTGATGTTATCGTTCATGAAGTGAATCATGATTAGTTCATGGCAACAGAGAGGTGTGGTCCGCTCTGTCCGTTTGCCTCATAGTTGTGGATACTTACCGTCTCAGGTTGTAAGCACGTTCCTGCTTATGATGTCGATAAGATATTCCAAAGCTCTGAGATTGTTATATCTGGAGCCCTGTCAACTGCGATTCGCAGAGTAAGGCTGACTTTGTCACAACATCTCTCCTTATCCGATGATGATGTTTTTCAGTTATGTCATGATGCGCTCGCACAGCGTAGATGACAGTGGCATTGTGAGCGATCATGCTGAGCTGTGCGGGGTCAAGGTGGTCCTGGTTGGCACTTGTAGTTGCACAGTATGCCTTGTGTGTTTCAGTCTACAGCGGGGAGTAGCGTCCGTTGGGTGGTATACCAACTTTCGAGATATACTTGGGTGGAGGAGGCAGCTGTATTCACGTCGATATCCATCTTCAACCCGGAAGGCCCCACTGCTCGTGAGGTAGTGAGCTGTCCCCGATGTGATGATGCTGGGCTACTGTTATGATGTTTTAGATCTTCGCTGTAAAAGCCGGCAGGACTGCGAGTGAGGCCGATGGCTTCCTCACAGTCGATGGCAAGAACGAAATTGACGTGCCGGTCCCTCCCTTTTTAACAGCTCTCGTGAGATCAATTGCGAAGTGCCCATTTCGGTGACTCTTTTGGCTTCAGGGTAGGGAGCTGTTCAACTATTTCTACGTGTATCAATTGGCCGCCGCATGGCTGCCGATATTTTGGGAGTACATCACCTATGGCATAGTCCTGCTCATACTCTCCTTGGCGAGCGCAATCGCTAAGGTGGCCGCTCCCGGTTGCTCCGGTAGGCTTTGATGATGAAGTTCAGGTGTTCACGGAGCGGCGCCAGAGGTTTGAGCTGAGAGATATGGCCAGGGTGACTGGAAATGTGTGGGTGAAAAGAGATGATGAATGGCAGAGGCTCACCAGCGACCTACTCGTACAGGGGGTAATTGGAGGGTTTGGTGATGCTGTTGCTGATGGTGTTGTCAGGATTTGATTGCTCTTATGGACGAGGACGCGGACGACTCTGATTATGAAGTCGGGCTACTGTCGGTTGATGCCATGATTATCAGTGGCAACGCAGTGTGTGATGAGAGCTTGCTCACTGGAGAGACTATGCCCATTCAGAAGTTTGAGGTGGGCTTATCGTGGATAGTCTAAAACCAAACTAAACTATGAACGGAAATTCGTAATGTGGTGTGGTTTTCCGTATGGATATCAACCGAGCGAGCCCATTTAGAGGGCATACCATATTTATATCTCTCTTTATATAGTCATTACTATGAATCACTGATATCAGGATAACCCTTTCATATCTATGGTTCTATTATATTTGCTATGTTACCCATTATTTATATATTATATAGTAAATAATGTAGTAGTAAAATGTTCAGTATGTGAGATATCGAATAATAGTAAATAATATTTACTATTGACCGATATCTCACAGTGAACACAGAATATCAGGTGCCTTCTATTGAGGATGAGCCGGAAGTTATGGACATTCCTCGAGATCCAAGAACAGAGAATAAGAAACATTATGTATTTGCTGGGACCAAGCTGTTGTCGGCCTCGGGAGCATCCAAAATCGATCTCCCTGAATCCTCGACCGGGAAGGGTGAGTATCGTACTACCCGTAAATGTATATACTCGATTGCGAACAGTGGGGATGGTTCCGGGCGTGAGTCAGGTCCTTCTGCGTTGACTTGCTAGGTTGCCTGCTGATCGTCACCCATAGAGCATCTGATAGCCTACGTGGTCGACTGCTCCGAACGTTGCTGTTCGGTGCACCAGTGTCCGCCACGTGGATTAGAGAGATCTGGACGGTTCTCATCATACTCTTCGTTTTGGGCATAATTGACTTCATAATATTGAACGCCAAATATGACTTCAATCTGGGCAGCATACTGAATGCGTGCACGGCTGTCATCGGGATGATCAGTCCGTTGCTGTCGATAGCCGTAAGCCTTTGGGATCAAATCTTCTATGAGCATTCTATGTTGAATTATTGAGATACTCGGGGGGCAACTCGCATCTGCGGCAAGACTGAGAGCTGGGAATGCGAAGAAAAAGAGGATACCGTTGTTGTGGCGGTGTCGTTCGAGGAGGATCGGTGAGTTTGAATTCAAATGCCTGGTCTATGCGCCTCGAAAATTGCTGCATTGCTCTTGTCTCCGACTGTGGAGTTTTTCTGTGAGTGAGAGGAGAGTCGTGGTTTTTATGGAAGTAGATCGGGATGACGTTTCACTATGTGGTAGAGGCTCCAGCTAGGGAGGGTATTTACTATGTGTTCAGAGACTGAGGAAGCGTTCAAGTCTTGTGATGACGAGGAAGAGGGTGACATCGGCGGCAATTTGCGCGTCCATTGTCGGGATGTGGCGAGACTTACACTCACTGGTAAGAGCCCATCGTACATCTCGCGGTGATTGCCGCGATTAATTTTAGGGCGCGTGACGCAGATGTGCTTCGATAAAACGGGTACTCTCACCAAAACAGGCTTGGACTTCCTCGGGATTGTTAACTTTGAGGAGGCGGAGTAAGATGAGGTTATGATGCACTCTGCGAAAAATTCATTTCTTCGTCTCAGGTCGTTGGTACTGCCGCACATGGTGTACTTTGGTCGTCGCAACCAAGAGGGGCACATTGATGGCTCGATGGCTGTTGGTTTAGCGCTCACTCAAACGGTTAGCGTTCTCCCTGAAAACGAGCTCATCGGGAGCCAGGTAGATTTCCTCGAGTGCCACAGTGGTGTTGTATGGTTTATGAATAGGTTGAGCTCCGTATGGTTGAAGCTGCTAAGGTACTGGGTTGGGAGTATGATGCAGACTTGAAGACTGCTCGTGAGCCCAATGGTGAGGTTATTGTCCTACGGTCGCTCTTGTATGACATAGTTTAGGTGGTCGTCGTTGGAGAGTTGATAAGCAGCATACCTTCGACCATCACAGTATGACGATGAGCGTTGTGGTCACTGATCAGGGCAGTGGGGAATCATACGTATTCTGCAAGGGCTCTCACGAGGCAATCCTGGATAGGTAAGGTCATCTGAATGTGATGGCGTGATGTACCGTACACAGATGCGGATCTATCGGGGAAGCTCTGAGGAGCAAGGCGATGTTGACAGCGGAGAAGTATGCCTCCCAGGGTTGTTATGTATTGGGCATTGCAACTAGGCGTGTGTCTGGAAACGAGGGTAGTGGGCTTGTCTGTACTTGATTGGATAGAAGTGCTGTTCGTAGGGTTGACACTATCACGACATGAACTGGAGGATGATCTAGAGCTACTGGGGCTGTTGTTATTCCGCAATGAAGTGAAGCCAGACTCGGCCCGGTACATCGACGTACTAAAGACGGGTGGGGTGGACAACGTTATGATCACCGGTGACTCGGTCTATAACGGTGCGGCGGTGGCACGGAAAGTCGGGATCATCCCCCATGGCTATCGGTAAGACTTGGTCCTAGTTGAGGTGTCGTTGGTATGTCTATTACTCTTCATTGAAGCATTCATCAGTTTGGTAGTGATCAGGAAAATCCATTAGTATCGCTAGTCGAGTGAATTGTATCAACAGTAGTGTGAGTATACTTGGTTGATAGTCTTCGGGGCTTGTGGTATTAGAGGAGTATAATAGAATTCCTAATGTAATCTTGTAACACTACAAGAACCGAAGACCTAATTTAGGAGTGTATTAGGTCGATGCATTCTTCGCCATTAGGTCGAGATTTTTTTACGCTGTTTACGGAATAATTCCTTGCTTTAGGGTTGTCATTGGTGATGTCGTATCATCACGAGAGGTCCGATGGGCGGATCTGGAAACGCAGGAGGAAGTGGATGAGGAGAGCTTCTTCGGCAAGGGCAGTGCTGATGAGGGGCGGCCCACTAGCCTCTGTGTCACGGGAGCATGCTTCTCGGAGTTGGCACGGGAGAATCGCCTCGTTTCGTTTATCGGTTGCCGAGGCACTTGTGATAATAGTCGCTTACGACCAGGGGTGAGGAGGTGAGCAGCAAGCACTGTGGTGTGCTGGTGTGTTATTGCTATTTCTTCAGACCTGGCCTGGTGGACTGTAGTTGTGCCCGTATACGGGTATTTGGTCGTATGACACCTCATCAAAAGGTGTCGGTTATTACAGCGTATTCCCGTCCACCTCTGAATCTAATAACTGGTATGTGTGGTGATGGTGGTAATGATAGTGGAGCCCTCAGGGCCGCAGCTGCCGGTAATAATAACCTCACCATGGTCAGCCGTATAAAGCATGTAGGTCTGGCCCTGAGTGGTAGAGTCGAGGCGAGTGTAGCTGCACCATTCAGTACGGATAGCCCCAGTATTGGCTCATTAGTACTACTACTCAGAGAGGGTAATAATGAGGCCATCTGCTCCGCGTGATAGCTCATGGTCTCTTGTCAGCTCGTGCTTCTATGTGTACATCATTTGCATCGTATCGATTCCTGGTAGTTCGAGGTGTAATTGGGTCGATCGGCAAGGTTGGTGGCAGTCCCAGTGATATAATCCCACCAGTAGTTGGTTGTCATATTCAGATGATCCTTATGCTCTATGCCGGGGCTTACCTCACCCCTTTCGGTTTTATCTATCAAGACTTGGTCATGAACCCCTTGTTGCTTTGGGCACTTTCCATGGTGAGCTCATAGAATAGTCAATGATAGAATTGTTGAGCCCCGGTTGTCAGTCGAAGCCGTCCAAAACCCTGGCCCGAGTGCCTCCTGAAGGAAGCCTACTTGGCCCTATGATGGTCATGTCTGCATCGTTGACGGTAAGTGGTGGTGCCGACCACCATGGTGGAATTCACCGACGTCTCTTCTGTGTGATTCAGATAATGATTGGTGTGATATTCCTATTAGCAGCTTTCTTCATCCTCTTTAGTAACGATGGAGAGGAGTGGTTTGTAAGACGGGCGCGCCCTCATTGTTCACTGGGGAGACACTCTCTGATTTAGGCACGATTCGATGGCTCTAATAGTGAGGTCCGGGAGTGGCAGAAGCGATCGGACAACTTTGAGGCGGCTCTGACGTGGTTGTGGCTCTCGTGGATTACATTCGATACCGCAGTTTGCTATTCTTATGGAGATGTTCATCGAAGGCCGGTGTAAGTCCCATGCGGGAGGTATCGGGTTCAAACCCTGGAAGCGACATTTAGCATAGTAATTGTCATTATATTGGTCAGGTACCGTAATTTGACTCTAGTGTTTGTTGTACTCCTTACTGGTACGCCACTCCTTGTACTTCTCCTGGCTTCGAGCAGTCAGTTCAGTTGTGCTTTCAAGGTAGCAGAAATCCCCCTCCCTCTCCTCCCAGTTTGTGTGCAGGTCAATTGCAGTTTGTCTGATTTCCAGGCGGTGCAATACAGTTGGATCAACTGGTTTTTGTTCCCGTACGAAGAAGTCGGAGGTGACGTCTGGTGAGTTTTCATCGCGAGCTGTTTTGAGTGGTATTGTAAGCTTAGGTACGGTGAAGTCCCTGGCAATGTGATGCCAGTGTGGCTGAGATGGACCTATTTCGGCCTTTTCTCGGGGATGACAATTGCCCATCATCTCTCGTATAAACTCATCTGTCTCGGATCGGTCGTAAGACGGACCCTTCCGGGTATGGGTTGGGGTGCGCGTGAGGGTAAGGCGGGTGGGCCTAGATCTTCAGTAGGAGGATTGGAATAACAGCCAGCAGTCTGAGTTTAATATGACACTAATTAGAGGGTCGGAGTAGTTCTATGCTATGTGTAATTTCCTATTACCAGGGGAGTTAGTGGCTACTCGGAACGATGCTGGCAAGTTGCCGTGGGAGAGGATGGATAAGGGCTCCTTGGGGACACCTCTCCTCACTTCGTCGTAGTCGTTACGTACCTCTGTGCTCGGTGCGGTCTCGAGCTGTAGCGTATGCGTGAACTGATCGCCCTCTGACTCTTCGAAGGGGAAGTTCGCTCTGCCACGGTAGTCCTCTGTGCTATTTTAATGCTATTTAAGATCGTTTAGCTGTTACTGTGGGGAATTATACTGCACATGGTCTGCACTGTTGGTGTTGAAGTGTGTTTACCTAATCTGGTAGCGGCTATCGGCAGGGCTCGATTTCAGCCCAGTGTTTAACACTGACAATTTAATGTCCATTTCAGTATCACCGGGGTTTGTTCGTCCCTATTCTCGGAGAACAATCTTCAACAGGAGAGGACATAACCATTGCATTGATTGGGGAAGGTCGACTCGGAGTTTGCTGGGCTCATCAGGTGAGGGACTTTTGATTAAAGTCGGGCGCTACTATCGAGGTCTTTCAGGTTAGGATTGCAGACACGCAGGTCGCCTTGATGTGCTGTTTTCATATGCTTCCGTTGTGATCATTATTCACTTTTTACTTGTTCTTGTCGGCATCGGTAACTCTGGTTTAAGTGGAGAGTAAGCCTTAGGCGCTTTAACTTCCTATCTCGCTCATCTCGTGTTGCCTTGGCCACTCTAACTTATCATCATGGCCACCTCCTGTTGCGTTTACTATGCTTGTTGGGTCGTGATTGTGATAGGGTCAGAGGATTGCCGGTATCGTCAATGGCTCGTGCTGCTGATGTCGAGGAGCTCCTACAGCTGCTAACTGATAGTCCGGATGGTTTTACTAACGAAGATCTGGAAAAGAGTGGATGGGACAAGCAAAAGCTTCTGCAGTGTTTGAATCCTCTATTGCAGGTGTGGTGAGGGTTTACTGACCCGTGTTGGAGATGGGCTGTTGTCTTAGGCGGGTCGTGTTGATATCTCCAAGACGTCTGCTGGGAAGCTGCTCTATACGGCAGTGCCCGCGGAGATTGCACAGAAACTCAGGGGCTTGGACCAGACATTCCGGATGATATATAAGCTCATCAAAATGGCAGGGACTCAAGGGATATGGAATAAGTAATAAGATGAGTCGTCGTGTATTATTCACTCACTGTGGTGGTATGCTTTAGGGACCTTGCCACTCGTGCTAATATGGAACATAGGATAGCTTCAGGCAGTGTGACGAAGATATGTTCACAATTAGAGGCACGGCGGTTGATCAAGAAGGTCACTTCGGTTCAACATAAATCTCGAAAGGTACGGCAATGGGGGATGGTCACACGTGCTAGGCGCTATGTTCGATATGCGGTCATAGGCGTGCTGGCCATCATCGGTTGATATAAGAAGGTCGTTCAGGTGTGGATGTTGTACGAGTTGGAACCTAGCAAGGAGGTCAGCGGTGGTAACTGGTATCGAGATGGTCGTTTGGATACGGACTTGATAGAGCGACTCCGGCAGTGTTGCCTGGATTACATCACCAACCAGAATCGGTGAGAATAGCGTCCGTTGGTCTCGGGGGAGTTACCATTTCCTGCCTCAGGGCTGTGACTTGTGAAGATGTTCATCGATATGTTGTATCACAAGGAGTCTCACACATCACACACAGTGTCGAGGAGATTGGTGATGTGTTGCGCAGTCTGGAGCTCGATAGAGTAATCATGGTAGTCCCCTCTACGGCGGGCGAGTCCATTGCTAAGTAAGGCCCTTCACGGTAGTTGCTGTCTCAATCACTTGTGGATGGTTTCAGGCAATGTTACGTGTCCCGACCAGCCAATTTGGGTTTGGACTATATAACACGTATAGTAGATGTCCCCTGTATCGCTTGTCCTGTATCTTCCGAGTGCGTAGTTGGAGGCCGAGTGAATCCCGAAGAGTGCCTCTACCTCTCGAAGTGGCTCAATCTCAGCGGCCAGAGTAGTGAGACTACGGATATAGAGGGAGGTCCGAGCTCATCAGCCAATGAGAGTGGAGGCTCGAAAGGTACCATATGATATACTGCTATCAACGTCGTTTCTACTGTCATGCTCTTCTGTTGGGTTTGTGACTGGCTTCGGTGGTAGCGAAGATACACTGGATCGTACAAGCTTTTCTTTGCCGGGAGGATGGTATTCTCTAGTAGCTGTGCTTTGTATTCCAAAGACGTATTCGTGGCGAAGTGTCTCCGCCGTTACTGGTCGGAACGACGGGCGCACGAACAGAGGAGTCCGGGAGCCTGTTGGCCGAGATTGTCGTGAGTGTATTGTTTGTGGTGTCTCATCGGTTGGACTATTGTCAACTCTCTGTCAGGCATTGAGGTACGTGGGGGAGGATCCCTCTCCCATTATTCCTTCTCCTGGAGGAGTACTCCGGTGAACCATGAGAGGGTGGTGAGGGCCGAGGCTGAGGTGCTTCCGGACGTAACTGCAAAGACCACTTGCGAGCTGACGGAGTGGAAGCTGCTGGAAGAGCCTTATGCGGAGATGATAGAGGAAACTGCCAAGGCGGGATCTAGAGTCATCTCGGGGATCGATGGCCTTTTTACGATGTGGCAGGCCAAGTTGGAAGGTCGCAAGAAGAGGGAGCGGGGACAGAGGCTGTGTAAGTACATCCGGATGGGGGGCATAGTGTTTGGGGAGGTTGAGCAAATCGGAGAGAATATGAGTTTTTCGCGAGAGAAAGACTAGAACGAGATGAATTGGCATGAGCATTTTACTGAAGGTGTTGAGTTCTCTCTATATAGTGAGCTCATGCACGGATGTCCGTTTTTGCAGTGCTTTGAATGTCACCGACTCCGAGCGAAAACAGCCGGTCGGAGGCCACTACGTTGCCCTCTGTACAAGCTCCAGTGGTCAGGACAGCTCCAGATGACTTCCCAAGTCTGTGTCGATCGACTGGGTCGGAGCAGCAGCCTGGGGAAGTTGAGCGGATTCAAAGACGCCTTGAAGAGGTGCGAGAGTATCGGCGAACTTCACGGTTCTTTCGTGGGTTCGCCGTATGTGAACAGTTCTCATTTTTCCACTGAGGATAGACATTATATTATAAGTATATTTGTTGTATGGATATAGAGATGTAAAATTACATCGATATTTCATGATTAAGCTCCAAAATCTACATACTCACACCTCGTGCTCGTACCTCATTCAGCTCTCGACGGTGGACACAGAGGGTTCACTCTTTGCAAGGAGCTGCCGAGAGCTGGCTGCTGACAACGATGATTTGGTATTGCGCATGGTGAAGTTGGGAGAGCTACTGCGATTGGAGGCCGGGTAAGTCCACGGGATCGTCGGAGTTCATGTCTGCTCTCTGATATCACGTACTAGTGTGATGTGCACTAAATAGGGGCTTTCGTGTGGACTGGTCGTATTCTTTCCTAAGACCGTATTAATAGCGTGCAATATGCGATTCTATGCTATGTATGTTCTCGACGATGGACAGATGGTCTATGTGTATGTCTTTACTGAGGACGGAAGTTAAGATCTCTCACGCTGCATGTCGTTCAGGGAAGAGCCTATCAACGACTCTATGGCGGCTTCAGCGTTGGCGAATTTCTGCTACGTCGCGTGCTACTCCTCAGAGCACTCCCGGACACAGTCACTGCCTCTATCGTTCGTATATTTGACAGCACTAAAGCTGATGAAAACGTAAGGAAGGAGGGGCTGGACCCGAGACTGGTTGTGATGCTGCTGTTAGATACACACCCGGCCTGTTGGGACCACCTTCCGCCGAAGGGGATGCCCTTCTAGTACTGTTCGAGAGTCTCATTAGATTTCACGATCCCATCTTGTGGTGGCATGTCACTCGAGGCGGGACTCAGTCTTGGACTCTGGGAGAAACACAAGATTGTCTCCGCAGCCTCTTCGCTGCTCCCCTGAGTCGTAGAGGGCATCCTGAAGTCTGCCAGACTCTCTGGTCGAGGCTCGCTCGAGAGTGGGATGTTGTCGATGCGGTTTTTGCTGCTCTCGCCTGGGTGCTGCAGCATTCTGATGAGCTCCGCAAGATTGGAGATGTTCGAGTGTGAGGGAAGGATCATTATCATTTCTCTTGAGAGGTTCTCACTCAGGAACGGTAGCGCTGTTTTATCCCTCGTCTCGACTGGGGAGGTGGACGATATCTTACAGCGTGCAGCTAGTTTGAAGGCATTCACACCCAAAAGTGTATTACGAGCTCTCCAGCACGCTATTTGTGGCCAAGGTGAGGACCGCGGATGGCTAATACATCGTCGATTGACTATCATCAGATTCAGACGGTACATCCCAGAAGGGCGCGCCCTGCCTACTAGTCGGCCCTGACGATGCCCTGGCTGCTAGTGATGGCTTCAACTCGGGACAGCTTTGTGTAAGTCGAAGGTCACGGTGGTGATGTAGCTCGTATTCCCAAGGTACTCGTTGACGTACGGTCCCCGTATACCAGACGCCTTCAGCCATCTTTGAAAGGGTCCATGGTCTTTGAACCAGAGTCCGCCAAGTCGGGCCAGATAGCCACTTTCGTCAATCGAGCGATCGCCACTCAGCGAGCATACGCGGGGAGGGAGCTTCCCAATGGGAAGAGTGGATGCGTAAGCGATGAGACTACCAGGATATGCTTCTACGCACTGCGAAGATTCTCATAACATTATTGACACGCTTTCCCTGCGGTCAGGTGATGCTATTACTTTATAATGAGGACGGCTCATACCCCGCGGACTCTTCTCTGGTAACTGTTATATCATTGCTGATAGAAGCGGGAGTGCCTGGAGTAGCGCTGCTACAAGGAGGGTATTTTCCTGGATTTCAATGCACCTTCTAGGATGTTATGCCCAGGTTTGCTGCAGTGGCGGAGCTCCGTGGTGATCAGCCTCTACCTTCCAACAAGGAACTCCTAATAGGCCAAGTTACCGAGACTATTAGCTCTCTACAGGAGACGGCTGGGGAGAGCTTGCGGCTTGCAACCGAAAGATTTCAAGGGACCCGTGAGGGCTCTGCTTGCAGCTCTGCTTGACCTTCCTTTTCAGGAGCGCAAACTGTTACGAAACTCGATGAAGTGCGCTTACGTCTTGGGGATGTTACGTCGACGGCAGCGGCCAATGTGAGGACTCAGTCGGACTCCCTGGCGGCTACTGCTAATGCTACTCTCGGGAAACTGCGAGATATGACGAGTGACCCGACCAGCTGGTGGGGGCAAGCTTCTACTGGCTTCAAGTCTGTGGCGACTCGAGTCCAGCAAGTAGTCACCTCGCAGAGTCCAGATGGAACCTCCCAGTCTGTGGAGTCTGCTACTGAGGCCCCTCGGGAATATGCAGTGGAAGCCCCACCAAGTCTGAGCTTCGATCGAGCACCTCTCCCTCCAGCATTTGCACCGCCTCCTCATGAAAGTACGAATGATATTAATGAGACGGAACGTAAGTGATACTTATGTTAAATTATCGTGTTATCTGATGCTCTCTGCATTTGTGTTGGGATCAACCTCAGCCTCGTCGTTTATAGTGGAGGATTGCGGTGCTTTATCCAAAGATGGGAAGTCATTTGAATTCATCCCTATGAGGCAAGAGTATTGTAGCTGAAATTGTCCTTTCATGTTGCACGATCTGCTCACAGCCCTCCTGGGACTTGAAGGGGATTTCATCGTCAAGCAGCTGGTTAAGAGCGATGGGAATATGGAGGTGGGTTAATAAGACATATTGCTAATACTCGGTGCTCCCCTCGACGCTAGCTAGCTGGCAAAGGCAGTCATTGATTGGCGACTCGAACGACATCATCTCTTAGGGGAAGGATGACATTCGCCCATCATTCGTGTTGGCGCCGATAGCCCTGAGTAGATTGTCAGACTCGCAAGTCCTGTCAATCAAACCCCTGCTCCATATCGCCGGGTAAGACCTGGTCATAGCAATGGTTACGAGCTTCACTGGGGAGGTTGATTATCAACTATTACCTCTTAGGTTGTACAACAAAGTAGCGGATGCTGTTGAAGCTGTGCTCACCTCAGTGCCTGAGCCCCATCCAGCTCCTTATCATTACACTCTTGCGGCCATCATTGAGTCGGTTGTTCTTGAGCCCTATAGGGACAGGATCTGCGACATTGAGGGCTCTCTATTACAACATGATGGGCTTCTGCCAGTCACTTATCTAGTCGCTCAACTTCGCGATCAAACCATCCTTCTCACGTTCTTTTCTGACCTTCTTGACGAGGCACAGTCAGTACGGGGCTGCATCCTGCTTGATCTCCTCTGGTCGCGCTACCACGCCTTGCCTGAGTGTTCCCCGATTCGCCGTCCTCTCGGGTTCTGTCTCGACGCACTTGGTGAACTCTTCTCATCAATGTTGTCCAAATGGGTCTCGTTCGGACAAGTCCCTATGCTGCCTGATGTCTTCTTTATCACACCTATCAGCAAAGACTACTCGGTTGTGGAGACGGAGTCCGCTAGCTCTAGTGCAGTTGAGATTGATCAACAGCTTATCCCGAAGGGAATAATTAGTTCCTCTCTGGCCGAGAAGATACTCCTCTGTGGCTCTGCTGTGAGGGTCCTTGGTTTGTGCGATACCACAGACGACACGAACAAGAATGCTGAGAACTTGAGTCGGCTAAGGCAATTGAATGTACTTTTCGATGGAGATGATCCGAACTATAAGATGACATCTCCTGGCTGCATACGTTACATAGAGCGAAGTGTTGAACGGGCTCGAGGATTTCTCAATGGGTGGCTACGCGGAACGGTGTCACCCACACTATTGGAGCATTTATCGGCTGTGAGGGGCCTCTATCTGTTGGGGGATGGAGGCTTCTGGCAAACCTTCTTGGAAGAGTGTGCCGAGCTCACCGTAACTCGTAAAGGAAATGTCACTGAGTGAGTTGGGCAGGTCGTCCACTATGTGGTGTAGCGATATGTGTAGGTACGACCTGTCAGCCGGACCCTGGCAGCTAGCTCTGGCAGAGCACTACGTTGAGACTAGCCATCAAGCGAATCTTGCTTCGCTCCGCCTTCTTCCTCTCGGCTTCTCGTTTGCCAGCAAACCCCTCTTCAACAGTAATTCCGGTTGAGAGCTGCCTTGGTTTTATTACGTGGTGTTTCGACTCGTGGCACACGTTACGTCCCGGGCAATTGTTGTTCGCAATTCGTGGTAGTGTGATCTCTGCCTGGGTCAGGGATGCTGATACATTCTAAAAACATGAGAGTGGACGGAAACAGGGACGGTCCCTTCCTCATTTCACGCCCATCATCAGTTACGAAGCAGTCAGCTGGTGCAGTTCCGGTCATCGATTGGGAGTTGGCTTGCAAGTCCAGCTTATGCCTGGTCGGGACTGCAAGACTTGGTGGTCAAGGTGCCTCATATTGTGTTGACCTAAAGAGCTTTTCGAACGATCTCCTCCAGGTGCAGCTGAGTTACTTCGGCTCGGCAGTAGTGGCCAGTGTTGGGCGACTAATCGTCAGCTGGTGGCTCGTGAGAAATTCTGCTCTGAAATTGAATTCATCGGGCCAGAGAACTCCACCACATCTTCTGGTGCTAAGGAAGGCTCTATGAGGTTAGTAGAGATACTATAACAGCTTCTGCCTCTGGAAAATTCCTCCTTAGTTTCGTCGTCCTCTATCAACACATTCACTCACCGTCGGAAATCGTCGTTGGATCAGCTGGCTGGTCTTCTCAGCCAAATGGAAAGCCCTGGTAAGACCTTTTATCTCCAAGTTTTCCGTCTTAGTTCGGCTAATATAGTGGCCATATAAAGTGATTATTGCCGGACTATGAACTCATCATCACTTTATTTTGTTCATACCCTCGTGGCCGCCGATCCTTTCTGTCAACTTTTCATGTACTCTGCCTTCCCGACTTCCCTGGGGATTGAAGTTCGAGCTGTACCAGCAGTGCTGGGAACATCCAACACTACTGAATTCGAGGTCAGGGTCGTACTGACAAACGAGGGTAACGTACTCCTTTTGAGCTCCTCGCAGGAGCCTCCTCCCTTCTATCAATCATTTCGGGTTGCTTCACTATCATATAGCACGATCACTCGACTCTCATTCGAAACTGCCTTCAGGTAATCGCATGCCCAACGTGCTAGCAGCAGGGAAGTCTGTAAGCCCCGGGTATCGCACAACAGCAGATGACTTTCTAAGGACGCATACTTTAACCGTCACGACTGGTGCAGTGAAGATTGACGAGGTACTCATCTGCGAGTTTCGGCTCCCTACTACATCTTCATTGGTCACATCGGGCTCACAGAGCGGTTGGAAGCTCGACGGTCTAGGTTGCTGCTTTGTGGGAATATGTACAACCGACTCCGCGAATGGGAATTCGTACTTGGAGATCTGCAAATGGTCACACATTCAACCCAGCTCGGAGTCGCGAGGCGGTGGTGTTGGCGGCACATGGCTCGATCGAGTGGTCATCGTCTACGAGCTTCCCTGGCCCTTGCCGCTTATCATCGGCACCGATGAGTTCACTAAGTATTCAACTATATTTCGCTCTCTCCTCTCGTTGCGACACTCAGCCCTTGGATTGGATACACTCTGGCAGACTCTTACTAGAGTTTCGCGGAAGCAAATCAGAGCACTCCCGTGGTTGAGTCACATCCTTGCTGTGAGGGCTCGGATGGCTGCTTGGCTGTCCACCGTGATCCAGTACTTCACGATAGACGTCATAAGCGTTAGATATGCAGAGATGGTTAAGAAGGTGTCGCTTTCGACGACCGAATTCGACGGCATCGTCCGGGCGCATCGTGCTTTCCTCGACGACATTGTATCGAAGTGCTTTCTCGAATCCAATCCCCGATCCCGGAGGATTCGCTCATCCATTGATAAGCTCAGCCGAGCTTGTATGAAGTTGTCAGCGCTGGGGAAACAAGGCATCTTCGATGACGCTTTGCCGAACGAACGATTGAGCAAGGCACTGAGATCGTTGGAGGAGAAGTTCATCATCGGAGTTCGAGATTTAATATCACTCTTAGATGACATGCATCTCACCAGTAGTGAGAGAGCTCATTCCCTCTCGCAGCTCTTGCTCAGACTGGATTATAACGAGTAAGTTCATAGCTCTCCTGATATCATACGAAAAGCAATTCATAGGGTATATACACGTCCCCAGCAACCTCCCACGACGAAGCTTCCGAGCATCGAGCAGAACAGGATGGGGCGCCCCATTATACCACAAAGCGAGAGTGACGGCGACTTGCTTTCAATGGGCAGTCCACGCTCTTAGATCCGAGTCGAGATCTGGAGCAAAGTACTCCAGTAGCCTCAGCTGAAGGAGCCGTCTCAGCTGTATCATCTCATAGCATAGGGCCTCAATATGGGCGGACGAGTGGTAGGTCAATCAGCAAGAATTATGTCGCGAGGCACAGTGAAGCAGGTCCTGGTCTGGCCGCCAGTGAGAGTAGCCATTATACGATTGCATACGGACCAGAACCTACTGTAAGAGAACAAACGATTCATTGCGAATGCATAGCTGTTGGACTGAGGCATCACATCTTCTGTCTCTCTGAATCTCCTCTTTCCACCTACGTAGCATCTTGAAGGCTACGACTCAGCTGCTACTGGTGGCTCCAGAGAGTTGGAAGTTCACGGCGCTACTCAAGATGTGGTTTCGAAGATTTTAAAGGAGGGTCAGGATGAGCAATCGAAGGTAAGCCCACGAATTATTTGTTATCCGGTCATGCAACCATTCGAACAGCACACCGCAATGCGGGCAGACTGCGTTATCAGGTGCTCTCTGCATACGAGAAGTCCAAGGCTCTGCTAGAAAGTATTCGCCGTCGAAAGCTCCTCCGAGCAGCAGGG